CCCTCTTGGGCCTCTTGTTAAGTTAGTTTATTAATGGATAAAAAAGATTTTGTTGTTTCAAAAATGCACTTGCTAGTTTAATTCCCAAATAAAAGTGTCAAAAAAGCAATTATTACCACTTTGTAATAATTACCATAACCTTAGTATACATAAAAAATGCATTGGTTTGGTTAATAATTATTATGCATACTATAGTTATTTCAGTAAGTAATTATTAAACATAAGAATAATTGCTTTTACAATAAAAAAAATCAAATTTGATAACGTGAAGTAAATAAATGCCCCATACTTTATTTAAGATGGATCTAATAATTATCATATTTTTTGTCTTTTGTTCTGTTTTGAGAGAAAAACACAATTGAAAATTAAAAGGTTTAAAAGGTTTGCATAATATATAAAATAGGGATATATTTAGTCAGACACCGATGTGATGTTTAAATGCTGTACATTTGAGACTCTCCAGCAAACCTATGGAACTACAGCGCTAGCTGTATATAGGCAACTATAGGACCCCAAACCATAAATATAAATACTAGTACTGTAGATCTCCTAGTGCTGTAGATCTCCGCGCTGGGCTGGGCTGTACATGTTGGTTTTAAGGTGTCATGTATCCTTACATTTACTCTCCCACTAGTTTGTGTCTCATTTGGAAATCATTACGAGATGGCAATACAAGTGTATCGGGTGACTTCCGTACCATAAGGACATTCTGCTGATTACTGTGCGGTACCTGCAATCAGTGAAAAAACAGATCAGTAATAGAGTAATATGACCAAGATGTGCTGGATGCTGTTCAAGCCTTAGAGAGAGTTTCTGGTTTCTTCTGATTAAACTAGTTTTCAATAATAACATCCAATATGGAACAATTATCATTTATATCCACAGCTTTTTGTGTTTGTTTCTTTTTGAAGTAAGATATAATTATACGGCAATTATTTTGTCAGACTCATTACCCTGATAGCCATGCAAGTGAGTTTACACTATGGTGCATTGTCTGTCATCTGTGATCAGCGCTCCTTTAAAAAACCTGCAGGCAGGAATAACTTAGGGATATAGATTAAATATGGCCTAGATCTTCCCGTAAGGCAAAAGGAATTATATGTAATGTATTTCTAAATGAAGGATGTCATCGCAGGGTGGGGGTGAAGAGGGGTACCTAGGGGCTAAAAGGGACAAAATTGACCCTCTCTAGATCCAATTAGCGAATGTTAACCAGATTTGGTGCAAAAATTATCATATTACTGTATCTAAGGCCAATGTTTGATCCAAAGTGGCCGCTGTGGTCTTATATATGTTTAGCCTATGATTGTCCGAGACATTTTTAACTTTTTAATTTCACTTCAACCAGATTTTATACAAATGTTTACCTCATTAGGTCCTGGCCTGAAGCCTGACATAAATATATTGCGGACAAGATCCTGGGAACAGGTGCTGTTATTTCTTTGCTTTATGTGAATCCTTTAAGATTGCCACACTGTTTTTAAGCCTCCGAGGCCTTTTCAACTAATTGCCATTAACTTCCACCATAGCAATATTTTAACCACATGTTGTACAAATATTCTTGTCACTGCCCTAACCATTTGCAATGTTTTCTCTCAAGGTTTGAGAAAAAGGTGCCCCTGCGAAACAGAGTTCTTGAGTTTAAGAACAGTTCTTGAATAGTTTAAGAACATCAGAACTGTTCTTGAACTGTTTTTAATTAGAATATATATCAGTGTAATATTGGCAGACTTTAAAAAGTCAGAGGATGTACACTGAGTTCCATGTTCTGGAGAGCTTATAAACACTGCAAGTGATGATGTTATTACAGTTTTTAGGTTTAGTAACAAATCTCCAAAATATACAATGTAATCTTGTATACAAATAACATATAACACTCCTAAGACTAAAAGAGGCATTCACTCATTCCCCCCTGGAGACACATTTGAACTCCTCCAGTTCAAAGGTTGGAATAGTTCATTACAAAATTTCAGGGGTGAATGTGGTAGTTCTAAATGTCTGAATCACAATGTCAGTATACTAACGAATTACAGAACTCCAAGGGAATACATTTTAGAGCTTTTACATCAGTGAAATAAATACTGGTATAATGGATCAAAGTTAGTAATCAATGATCAAAAGATAGTGGTATGTTTTGTATTACGTTGGCGACAGGGAACCAGTGACTCAGTTACCGTGGTAGAAATGACTTCCACACATACAGTTGTACAGTATTGTTTTACTGTTAATACTGTTGCTAATGCTTGTACTGGTGTTTTTGGCAAGCTTGACAAGGTAGGAGGTTTTGGCACTGAGGTATAATACATGTAAACAGTGTATGTCTGTACCACAGAGGTTAGACTTCCTTGTAATTGTCACAATATCATGTTCTTATCCGTCACAAATGTTTGTAATGGTATCGGTCATTGTCGTCACACATACAGGTTCCTCAGCAATCTGTTAGTAAATGCTGAAACCTTTGATAAATAGATTACCTAACTATATATACACAGAAATTGTATGCTTTTAACATGGACACACACAGCTTCCCAAACAATATATACATACAAAGATAAACTTTATTTATTTTACAACAATTATGAAACAAGTTTTTACAACTTAAACTTATCACTCTTGTTGGCCTGGATGTTAGCACACTGGGAGATCTTACTGTGGAGAAAACCCATATGGTCGGGCAGGTGACAAAATACAATGTACTTTTTCACGTCCGATCGGGGAGTCGAACCCCAGCCTCCTTATTGAAAGGCAAGTGCGCACCCAACCACCCAAAACATGCCACAAACCTGATCTTCAAGGCCTATAAGTTAACAGCAAATATTGAAAAGTTTTGCCTGAATCCCCCAATATATATAAAGTATACATATATGTATTTATACCTTACCGTATTCCCTGTAATTGGTACCCTTCCCCTAACAAGTGCCTCTTCCCTTTGGCACTTTTGAAATGATAAAAATATGTAACAACCCCTTTTCCCAATAACCCTCCATTCTGGCTCTATCTGCAAAAGATTTATAGACTCGTAACATGATGTATACCCTCCAATCAGAGTGGAGAATTGGCAACTAGCAATTCTATTTTGAGAATGAGGTCTGTAAGGGACTTTTATTAAAACTGGAAACTGGAAATATTTTGGTAACTGCAGTACTAACAGTCCAAATTAGCGCTTTTTGTCATAGAAAGTGGTGTGTAACAGAGTTACAACCTTGTTACATGACGTCGCTGTGACCTCCTATCAGATATTCAATCGAGCCGAAGGCATTATTAAATATTTAATTTATATACATTGTATAATAGGTAACAGTGTAGAGTAAAACACAAGTTGTACTACAGTTAATATCTTTTCATGAAAATATGTCAGTATTAAGAAAAAAGAAAAGAATTATGATAACAAAAAGTTGCAGAATTTTTTCACAATACAAAATGCTTCAGGGAACCAAATAGTCCCATTTCCCCCACAATTTAAAATTGACATTGCCAGCACGTAATAGATAGAACTCGTTTGATTGGATGTGCTGGGTGAACGACTATAAACATCATTGCTTTACAATATAACGCTGCAAATTAATATCCTTGTTTTGTCATTAAAGCAACAACTATAGCCTTCATTTGAATAAACAATGCATAACAGCCAGCAGTTTAATCGTAATATTATACCTGAGGCCGCTGTGTGATGATCGTAAATGTTAGTGAATCACCTATATAACAGGTACAGTTTCCCGTTCAGATTGATCGAGGTCTACAGACAAACATTTATACCCGAGTGGCAGTTAAAAGGGACATTTCATGAAAACACTTTCATGTCCTAATGTTTGTACCTGAAGATCAAATGTATTGATTTACAAACAGTCTGTTCATTTTGTTTACGGTAGATTTAGCTGCACATGTAATAAAACAGAATGCCTATCCTAAACAGTTTAATGGATTTTATATGTTCACAGAATTTTTACATTTTTTCACATCAGTCTTATCTTTGATAAAGTCAAAGGTTTCGTTTTAGAATCTCATCTCTATATAAGTGAAATCATGAGAGAGGCTTTAATATTTTTTAGAGTACCAGACAATTATACAATAAATTTCTGGAATACATACGCTAGTGTCTCTGTGAATCCATAAGGGAGATAATATGTGAATCCTTGCAAAAAATATGGAATTTTCATAATAAAATGTAAATTCTGTGGACTAATATCATATTACAAATATGAATACCTATTGACATTATGGATCATGGATATTTTTGTGAAGAGGCCATATTGACAATGCTGTATTTTTAACACATCCTCCTATTTTAATGCTTATATTAACACAATATTGGAAATAATGTACCAATTTGAAATTGATATTAACCTCGATAGTGCCATGGTTATTTTTGTGAGATAATTTGACTGACAGTTATTGGGAGTTACATGTATCACCCTTAGTATGTGAACTTCGTATACATGTAATATCTATTTATGACCTGTGCATTTATATTTCCTCCCTGCGATCAAAAGCATAATCACAAAGGGATGAATGTAATCAACCCATGGATCAGAATCCAATAGTTTTTGTTGCCAATGTTAAAATCAACAATCTGATCATGGAACAGAGTAATTAGCTATAAGTTCTATAATGCATGCTTACTGATATTTTGGTTTAAAGATTTTTCTGAAGATATGTCTGAATTCACTTCTTTCCCACCCAAATACTTCAAATTTAATCTAAGGAATTTGATTTGACCTTGTGGAAATGTTAAATAAAGCTATATAAGTGCTTTTAAGACCTTTATCAGGAGAAATTCTATTTAGATTTGATAAAAGGTGATTGTTTTTAAAGAACTAAAATTCAAGTCTAGGTTAAAACTATAAAAGTGCTGCATACTACGATATCTCCTGCTTGTTACCATGCGAAAGTGTTGAAATGTACATCACATCCTAGTGAATCTGTCGTTCTAATGGAATTTGTATGTACTTAACAACTTGCATGATTACAATTGATTATTTCTTCACCTTTATATATTACAGATGATTTCGCGCTGTGGCCCTGTTGATAGCAACTCGTGGCATATTATTGTATCGTCATGGAAACTATCACCTCGATCCCATCCTGGCTGCCACTGTGTGCAATTTTATGTGTGCAGTATTTGGGAGAAGCCAGTCAGATATCAGGTAAAACCTACTACAGTACTGTCGGAGACTAGATCAGTAGGCAGATTGGAAGTTATCGCTTGGAACTTTCAATTAATTCTTAAGCGGATGATTTCTCATTCTGTGGCGAATACTTTTATTTCTGGATGGTAAATGTGACGGAATTTTGATATGTACTTAATGAAGAGAAAATACTGAAACTCATTCTTTTGCATGAAGACAATACAGTTAAACTTATGAAAACCAGCAAAGCAAATGTTTTTGCATTTTTTCTTAATTGACCTTTACGATTATTGTGATCAGCCTATCAAGATTGATGTCCAGATACCATTTTGTACATAAATATGTAGTCGTGCATAGATTTCTCCCACCCCACTGAAACAGCTACGTTCACATGTAGACATTACTGGACAATAACACAGCTTGCATGTTTCAGGGTGGCAAAGTCAAGGTCACTTCATTACTATTTATAGATTTTCTTTGTCATTGCTCTGACGACTAATTAAGAGCTAATTTGTTAGTCCAGATCATCATATGAAGAAAACCTTGAAAGGTTTTGTGTTTCAGAGTACCAAGGTCAAGGTCCCCCTTTTCATTATATGTAATTTCTTCAACAAATCTGAGGATATGTTATCATCACCCAACAAATTAAGCTCCTAAATGAATTCAAATATATGTAACCTAAGCTGTGTTATCGTTTAAATAATTGTTTTTACTTCAAATTGACATTTATTAGAGATGAATAAATTGGCCTTTTGGTATATTTAGCTCACCTGGCCCGAACGGCCAAGTGAGCTTATGCCATGGTGCGTCGTCCGTCCGTCGTCCGGCGTCAATATTTTACTTTAAAACAACTTCTTCTCAATAACCAAAAGGCCTATGATGATGATGATATTTGGCCAGAAGCAAACTGGGATGATGGGCTACCAAGTTTGTTAAAATAAATGACCTTCACCTATTTTCAAGGTCACGGGGGTCAAATATGTTAAAAACTTTTAAAAACTTATTCTGAATAACCAAAAGTCGCAGGATGATGATATTTGGCCAGTAGAATGCTGGGATGAAGGGCTACCATTTTTGTTCAAATGAATGACCTTCATTTATTGTCAAGGTCACAGGGGTCAATTGTCTTAAAAAATCTTTAAACAACTTCTTCTCAATAACAGAAAACCCTAGGATGATGCTATTTGGCCAGTAGCATGCTGTGATGAAGGACTACCAAGTTTGTTTAAATGAATGTCCTTGACCAACTTTGAAGGTCACATGGGTCAAATGTCTTAAAATCTTCAAACAACTTCTTCTCAATAACCAAAAGGCCCAGGGTACTGATATTGGGCCTGTAGCATGCTGGGATGAATGACCTTGACCCACTATCAAAGTCACTGGGGTCAGATGTCTGAAAATCTTCAAACGACTTCTTCTCAATAACCAAAAGGCCAAGGGTACTGATATTGGGCCTGTAGCAAGCTGGGATGAAAGGCTACCAAGTTTGTTCAAATGAATGACCTTGACCCACTTTCAACCTAATGTCCTTGTTCGACATTCAAGGACACAGGCTTCATGTTTAAATCTTCTTTCATCCCAGCTTGCTCAATCCATAGGAAGTCAGGAGATGAGATATTGGGCACTCANATTCTGCCTGTAGCTGTATTTTAGTCCACTTTTAAGATTACAAGTGTGAGATTAATACCAGGTGAGCGATGCAGGCCCATTGGGCCTCTTGTTGATTTAATTATTAGCCATTATGTTTTAAAAGCCTTCAAAGTTTACAGACATCTATGGTAGTAGAACAATATGAATTATGTAAGGATTTTAGATATGGATCAGGTAATCAAACTAGTGTAGAAATTAAAATTTGATACACTACAGGCTAAATTTGATTACATAACAATTGGAGATGTCGAGTTGTAATTAATCAAATCAAAAAAAATATAATAAAAAAAAAAAAATAGTTCAAACTTTTCTTCGTGTCATTCTAATGCAACTGGTCAGAAATTTGTCAAGTTCAGCAACAATCTGTTCATCCAATTTATTGATCTGTAATGTACCTTTCATTCAGTTTGTCCAATCTTGAGGGTGGCATTCATATCAGATTTGCATGATGATAACATTGGATAACATCCACTTTAAATTCCTATAGAAGTTCACAGTTCTATAATTTCATTTTACAAACTTCGTTCCTACAGATCCTTAGAAATGCTGGAACTATTCCTGACATTAGGAAGTTGGCAAACCCAGAGGAGAAAACACTACATGAATAAATATTTCAAACATAATATTTATATTTGCAATGTAATTAAATTTTTCAAAATATTTTCGTACTCTGAAATTTAACATAAATCAAGTAAAAAAAGAAATAAAAATATGATTTGTATGCCTTTGAGGTTTAACCTTATTGCTATGTAATTAAATGTCTTATCTTCTGTTACAGAATATTACTCAATAGGAACATTAAATTTTCAATTATCCAAAAATTCATTAAATTGTGATTAAAAAGAATTATCAGTGAACACAACACCAATTTTATTATGTAACATTGCATTAAGGATGCATGTATTTTAGTTAAATGCAGATATTATTTAATAAAGATGCTCTTCTATGTATGAAGATAACTGAAATTAAGTCTGAATGGAAGCTTAAAGTAAATCTACTATTTTGATACTAGAATGAAATTGAAAAATCTTGGTGTGGGATGATTTAAACTCAGAGGAGGCTGTTATCCAATGTTAAATTTGTTATAGGGAATATAAAAGGTTCATTGAGGCCTGGAAAAACTCTGTTTAATACTATCACATGAAACTACAGGTCTTGGATACTCTTGCAATTTAATACCTAATTTAATGATGTGAAAACTAATTGCGGTCATATTAATTATTCTTTTAATTTGAATAACTTTTTATGGTTATTCACATTGAAATTTAAAATACAATTTTAATTTGTGTTCATAGCAACATGTTCTTGTGACCCTTGAACACCATATTATAGGGTTAATATATATTTACACAAGCAGTTATTCTATTTACTAATAAACATTTAATTAAGAGTCATTGATAAGCTTAAACCCTTTCACCCCTAGGTAACTTTAGTAGACTCTGCCATACATTGATCTGGATGAGTCTATTATGGCCTACAGTGGTGAAAGGGTTAATAAAGAAAGGAATATGCCCAATTAGCTTTCATTTTGTAATTTAAGAACTTCTCTGATAAATCCCGACTTTGTGTTTTCATTTCAAAATCATTTTTATTTGGAAATGTTTTGGTTTTTTTTGGGTAATTATATTGGCACGTTTGTCAATATGATAACCAATGCCCCAAGATGATAGTAGCTGAGGCCAAAGAAATGATATCATTTATAGCTGGGTAATTGGATAATTGAGCTTGATCAATTTTAAAACCAAAAACTGATTAAATACAGGAATTTAGACAGGAATTATGATAAATTTAAATGATTAAGATATGAATACATTCCTCAGTTTATGAGGCTAATCCAATTTGCATTAATTGCCAACAGTAATTAATTGTTATTTTTGTTTAAGATTAAGGAATTATATACATTTCTGCTGCAAACCTCTACAATACACTGCCACAGGAATGATATTTATCGGACTATGATTGCAGTTGTATTCAGTGTCATTCTGATGCTCAAAATCTCCACCTTGCATAACACGGTCTCACTTAAGTTCAAGTTGAAATATTCCAACTTCTTTTTTCGTTCAGAAAACAAAAGAAACAGATGAGTGATACAGGCCCAATATCCAGAAGGCACTGTATTCCAGTGGTAGGATGCCGGGCTTGTGACAGATTAGGGTTGCGCTTTGAGTCACAGCACGGCACTGCTGTAACTTCGAACAAAATACTTAACTCCAAGGAAGTTAGGAAAGATATTGGCTGGTTGCAAAGGCCCTATAACCACGGATAATAATTTGTGAACTGATTTGAGACGACCTACAAACTAGGTTGTGATAAAGCAGTATATAAGAACCTCAAATTATTTATCAATATTATTAATATGCCTTTTTTTTTTATAATTAAACAGATTTCTTATTTGCTTGGAGTTTAGTAAGATTTCTACTTTAAATTTAGTCAGAGTTTAGTTCCCAAAGTTTTATGATCTATTTAAGATTTGGTTCCAAAAGTCATTTATTTAACAGTCTTTAAAAGTTTTTAATATTTTTTTGGGGATTTGGACTTCGATGTTTATTCCAATTTAAAACAGCTAGAACATTAATTATAAAAGCATAACAAATTCTCTGTTTTAGTACAATTGTTATTCTTGAAAATAATGTTATCCTGTGTTCTGATTGTATGATATAATAGTCATTTTATGTTTCTGTTTTTAAATTTTAAAACATTGACATTTAAAATTCTTTTATGGGGGACATAACGATGAGACATGAAGAGATTAAGTAGAAAATAAAAGCAATTTCAACATTCTTTTATTGTCAAAACACACAAAGAACTTTTTTATGTGTGATATATATAAAAATGTATTGACTCTGTGAAACAGTTTTCTTTACAAGGGGGACTGATTATACCAATAATTACTACCACAGTCACAGTCATACGCTGTAATGGGCCAGAAATGATACCATGGAGAGAGATATGGGACAAGAAAATAATACAATATCACTGAATTTTTAAAGTTTTGAGAACATATCCTCTTTAGTTATTGCTAATATCCAGTACTTCAAAATACAGCTAGAATTCCAGTAAATGGTCTATAGATACTAAAGACTAAATGACAGCTCCTTATAATTCAAATTGTATCCTTATATTTTTTCAATCTGGTCTTATAAGGAGGGACAGAATCTCCTGATAATAACCTTTTTATAGTTTGAACTGAAATGAGATATATAATTTTTGGTACCTAGATCCAACTAGTATCTCTTGTTTGCATAAAACATCAATAGAATCTTTCAAATTCCACACACACCCCAAAGGTTCTTTTATTATTAGACCCCAATATAAGCATGCTAAGGATTCGACAATAACAGAATCTTATCCTGAAGATTGAGATATGCCAATCTCACCTCTAAAAGTGTGCTTTAATTGAATTTTTGGTCTTTCGTCCCTCAAAAGAAAAGTTTCGTTAATAAAAACCTAAAGGTTCTTTTTTTTTTGCAGTCATATTTGTTTGTGGTAACAATTTTTCAACAAATATCTTACCTGCAATTTAATAGCAAAATAATCCATTCTCACCTTAGCACTTTCTATCAGGGCCAATACAATCTTATGAAATTGACCATTTTAGCATAATATTGTCAGAATTTATCCAGTTCTCCCATTTTCAATTAAACACAACTATAATGAAGTGTTTTCTATTGACCAAGGGAAGCAATAAAATAAATAACAATATAAAATTTTAATGTCAAACTATATGTATAACAAATTGTCTGGAGCCTTGCCTGCCCTGGACAATGCTTTTAACTCATTCACCCCTGAAATTTCATAATGAACTATTCCAACCTTTGAATTGGAAGAGTTCAAATGTGTCTTCAGGAGTGAATAAGATAACATATAACTTATAAACATCATTGACCTTGAACCAATAATCTTGAATTGTATTTATGAAAGATTTTGTTTTCACTTTCAGCCAATATAGATATGCCATGTAACAGTGGACAGGAGTATGTCCTAGGCCTCGGGGACTATCTGTCGGTGGGTGCCAGGGGGAACCAGTTCTTCCTGGGATCATGTGCAATTGGTATCACTGCCAGAGACAAAAATTTCAAGTGTAACAAAATTTGTTTCTCAATGGATTCCTTTCGTTTCACAACCTGTGACATCATGCTGAGTTTCTACGACTCTGGAGTGTGGAATTTCGGAACAGCAAAACCGGATTTTGTAAGTTTTCAACTGCAAACATTATGGTGGATAGATAATGTCATTTTTCTTAATAATTACTGTATATGACAGAACCGACCAGGGTGAGAAAAGGGTGGAAGTAACTGTCATCTTGCACCCCATTTACTGTGTCGTCACAATTTTGGACAACATCATGAAATTGGAAACATTCTGATACTATTAATGATGCAGAAATTGTAATGCGTCTTTGTGGTTTCTGAGCTAATTTTTGGTGATTTGAGTTTAAAAATCTCTTTCGTGCCCAGAGGTGTAGGAAATTCCACTCTTAAGATTTTCAAATTGTACTTAACCCTCAGCAAGCTTTGGGTTTTGCCCAATATGAAAACCTATTGGGTTGGATTTTCCTATCCTAAATCCCTGTGAAGGAGTCCTATAGTAAGTAATTTTCATAAAAATACAGTATTTTTGGAGATATTTCAGATAAAATCTCACAAATTTTATTGGAAGAATAAGCTGATTTATTCAAGTATTCAAAGCCACAGGGGTCAAATGTGTTGTACAACAGGTATTATATAATTGATACATAATTGTTTTAAAGCAATGAATTTCCCATGGGTGCACCTATTGATTTTATGATCCTTAAAATATTCACATAGGTTTAGGTACTCAGCTGTACTTATGTGTCACATCACCATTAAAATAAATTGTTTACAGAGTGGTACATGCCGGGCACCTGCACGTGGCGACTGGTGTACCAGTGGTACCACTGCAGTGGTGAGGTTAGAGAATCTCCGTGGAAACTTGGCGCGGATGGTGGGGAAGTATGAGCTTCAGATGACTGCTAGTGCCCGGTGTTCTCAGGAGAAAGCAGACATAGAGTTCATAGAGACTGATGGTAAGTATTACAACTTCTCTATAGTGGAAAGTATTAAAACTTCTCTATAGTCTTAAATATTTAAACTTTGTGTGGTATCCATAGAACTTATAGAGACTGATGATAAGTATTACAACTTCTCTATAGTGGAAAGTATTAAAACTTCACTATAGTCTTAAATATTTAAACTTTGTGTGGTATCCATAGAACTCATAGAGACAAATGGTAAGTATTAAGATTTTCAAATTGTACAGTGTCAAAGAAGCTTTACTAAATTAGACAAGACAGGGATCAAACGTCGCTTTAATATATATATATTTAATAATATATTCCCAGAGCTGTATTTCCTTGAACCTGCATATAAAAAGTTATATAAGAAATCAGTATCAGCTCTTGACTTAAAACTCTAGATGAATTCAGATCTATATACTTCTTGATAATTGTTATTTCAGGACTAAAAAAAATGTATATCAGTACATTTGGTGAGCATTGGTATAATTTTAAGGACATGAAACTTTGCTCATACACCATGAAGACACATTTGAACTCCTTCAATGCAAATATTGGAATAGTTCATTATGAAATTTCAGGGGTGAATGAGATACTTATTTACCTTTATCATGGATTGTTATTATTTTAGTTGGAAGTTATCTTCAGATCTATATCAATATATCTATTGAAAAGTGATGTATTTTTTTAGTTGAAGAAAACTTGAGATGTTGAAGGGTTGTACATTGTGGTTTCAGGGGAGACAACCTCAGGTGGACTGAGTATGACAGTAATGGTTGGGCTAGTACTTGGATGTATCATACTTTGTCTCCTAATGGCCGTTATACTGCTGGCTGTTATGTACAGGAAAAAACATCAGCACCAGACATACCATCAGGCAGCAACCACGATCTCCAACACACCCATCTCCCCAGGTAAAACTACCATCTCCAACCTACCCATCTCCCCAGGTAAAACGACCATCTCCAACACAACCATCTCCCCAGGTAAAACCACCATCTCCAACACACCCATCTTCCCAGGTAAAACTACCATCTTCAACACACCCATCTCCCCAGGAAAAACTACCACCTCCAACCCACCCATCTCCCCAGGTACAACTACCATCTCCAACACACCCCTCTCCCCAGGTAAAACTACCAGCTCCAACACACCCATCTCCCAAGGTAAAACCACGATCTCCAACACACCCATCTTCCCAGGTAAAACTACCATCCCAAACACGCCCATCTCCCCAGGTAAAAGCACGATCTCCAACACACCCATCTGCCCAGGTAAAACTACCATCCCAAACACACCCATCTCCCCAGTTAAAACTACCATCTCCAACGCACCCATCTCCCCAGGTAAATCTACCATCTCCAACACACCTCTCTCCCCAGGTAAAACTACCCTCTCCAACACACCCATCTCTCCAGGTAAAACTACCATCCCAAACACACCCATCTCCCCAGTTAAAACTACCATCTCCAACACACGCATCTCCCCAGGTAAAACTGCCATCTCCAACACACCCATCTGCCCAGGTAAAACTACCATCCCCAACGCACCCATCTCCCCAGGTAAAACCACCATCTCCAACACACCCAGCTCCCCAGGTAAAACTACCAGCTCCAACACACCCATCTCCCTAGGTAAAACAACCATCTCCAACACACCCAGCTCCCCAGGTAAAACTACCCTCTCCAACACACCCATCTCTCCAGGTAAAACTACCATCCCAAACACACCCATCTCCCCAGCTAAAACTACCATCTCCAACCCACCCATCTCCCCAGGTACAACTACCATCTCCAACACACCTATGTACAGGGAAAAACATCAGCACCAGACATCCCATCAGGCAGCAACCACGATCTCCAACACCCCCATCTCCCCAGGCAAAACTACCATCTCCAACACAACCATCTCCCCAGGTAAAACTTCCATCTCCAACACACCCATCTGCCCAGGTAAAACTACCATCTTCAACACACCCATCTCCCCAGGGAAAACTACCATCTCCAACACCCCTATCTCCCCAGGTAAAACTCCCATCTCCAACACAACCATCTCCCCAGGTAAAACTACCCTCTCCAACACACCCATCTCACCAGGTAAAACTACCATCTCGAACACACCCATCTCCCCAGTTAAAACTACCATCTCCAACGCACCCATCTCCCCAGGTATAACTACCATCTCCAACACACGCATCTCCCCAGGTAAAACTCCCATCTCCAACACAACCATCTACCCAGGTATAACTACCATCTCCAACCCAACCATCTCCCCAGGTATAGCTACCATCTCCAACCTACCCATCACCCCAGGTAAAACTACCATCTCCACCACAACCATCTCACCAGGTAAAACTACCATCTCGAACACACCCATCTCCCCAGGTAAAACCACCATCTCCAACACACCCATCTTCCCAGGTAAAACTACCATCCCCAACGCACCCATCTCCCCAGGTAAATCTACCATCTCCAACACACCCCTCTCCCCAGGGAAAACTACCATCTCCAACACACGCATCTCCCCAGGTAAAACTTCCATCTCCAACACACCCATCTGCCCAGGTAAAACTACCATCCCCAACACCCCCATCCCCCCAGGTAAAACTACCCTCTCCAACACAACCATCTCCCCAGGTATCACTACCATCTCCAACCTACCCATCACCCCAGGTAAAACTACCATCCCCAGCACACCCATCTCCCCAGGTACAACTACCATCTCCAACACAACCATCTCACCAGGTAAAACTACCATCTCCACCACGCCCATCTCCCCAGGTAAAACCACGATCTCCAACACACCCATCTCACCAGGTAAAACTATCAGAGATGCTGGTGCGCTATAGTAACTCTTTTCCGAACATTAGCTTGAATCCAAAAGACTATTTTACATGGTGATACACTGTGACATAGAGATGTGCAATATGGGTTTTAAAAGTATTTTTAAGGTCAATGTCAAATTAAGGTCTCTGTTTCTTGAAGTAGACCAAGTGATGTACAGTCCTTATCTCCTAATCCAAAAGAGGATTGGGGATACGGTCCTTATCTTGTAATCCAGAAGACATTGAATATCATTTTACATCCTCAATTTCCACCAGGTTTGAATTGATCACACTCATATTAATCATACCTGTTTTTCAGTAATTAAGATATTAAGCTCTTAATTTTTCAAGATCCTTAGTCAAAAGTCATTAACACAGTTACAACATGTAAACATAGAATTAACTTTTACTGATATGGAGATGTGGCAGGGACGTTCCTACCCCTTAGACATTGTCTTGTTTTGTATGGCCCAAACATCTTTGACCTTTGTATGGTTCCATACATTTGAGCTAAATTCTGAAGTCTATTGTAATTTTCAACGTATGTATTTTGTTCAGATACATCGTACCGCCCTGTACAGGAGACCTGTGGGGTCATTGACCAAGTGGATGATGACTGTACGCCCGCGTTGATCAAAGATAAATATAACTGTGGCGTGGAACGTACGCCTTCACATCCTCGACTTCCTACAGCGCCACCTGTTGATGATTGTTATTCAGATTTACGGCCACCTAGTTATAGCTACTGTGTAGCTCCCCCTGATTATAACGGAACTCCAGCGGACAATACGGTATCAAAGGAGGACAACCCACTCTGATATATGGAGGAGATTTATTTCAAGGATGAGTGACTTTAACATTCAATCATGCATATCATGCTTGGAGAGTGATTTCCCCTTTTGATTGAATGGTCTCCAAAAGAGGTCTCCCTTAGCCTCTTCTAACCATCTGCAACAGTTAGTGCAATTGGTTAATTCAGTAAAATGGACCAATCAAAAGCCATCTCTCTTCAATGTATCCATTGATATGATTGGTCACACTGCTGTGAAGTGGACCAATCAAATACTTAGTACGACCATTTAAAAATGTGAGTGATAATTTCCAGTATATTTGAATCAAATAAGATTTTAGATTACTGCAGAAGATGAAACCCTTCAACATTTTGTGTATATTTGTGTAACATTTCTAGTGAGAGCTATGTACTAGGTCCACAACAATGAAAGAAATGCATAATCAATGTGTTGTGGATATATGACATACATGTAACTGTGAATTTGAACTTTTCATATGTTCTGCAAACCATTCCTCAACTGTGTTTCAAGGGAGGTAACTCATTTTAGTTTCTGTAGGTTCATGGTAAAAGATATCCTATGTGGTACTCTTTAGATAATGAAAAGTGAAATACTTGTGTCTAAAAAGTTTACAGTTGTATGTGAAGCAGTTTTTTTTTGTTTTTTTGTTTTGTTATTTTTTAGTTATATGTATTAAAACTTGTCTTGTCATTTTTTGTAAAATTCAGAAATTCTTAGAGATCTGCCATTTTATTTGCATAGCAGAATGCTTTCATCACATTCTAGGATTACACTTTTTTAGAATGTTGCGAAAGACATTTATTTTAACCACTTATATTATTACAATTATCTATCACAGTATCGGAATATATTTTTTCTGTATTATAGGAATTGTTGGAAGCAAATAGGGCCTACCGGGTAACTAGTGTTGTCAAACACATTTCAGGACTTGTTTTTTTTTTTTTTTTTAAATCAGGTTATCTCAGTAGAATCTTGGACTTCGTTTCTTTAGATAAAAAAACAAAACTGATATAATCAAAATTAGAAGAAAACTAGAAAATAATGTTGATCAAAGGGAAAAAGAAGAGTAGGCAGATCCGTCAGTCACTCATTTTATACCTTATTCACATGGTACCTCTCCATGGAATTCTCCCCAAAAAAAAGGAAAGTACATGTACATACTTATGTAATCTCAAAAATTAATTCTTTGTATTAAATTATGTTTTTTTAAAGGCACAGAGGACAAATTGCAACTGTGTTTTTTTGGTGTATTTTTTTTGTTTTATATATATTTTCCTTTTGATAATTCATTTATGAATAATTTGTTATTTTCTAGATTATCTGTGATGAACAAATTAATGAAAATGGATTTTATCATAAAAAATGCCACTGTCCTGAGAATCATTCGCATTTACATTAACCTTTTCACCCCTGAGTAACTTTAGTAGACTCTTTCATGTATTGATATGGATGAGTCTATTATGGTCTACAGTGGTGAAAGGGTTAAACCAATTTGTAGATACTTACGTTCATCATATGTGTATATTAGTGTTTCCCCATTCGTTCACACATCATGGAAATAATAGTATTTTTGTGAAGTAAAAGAAAAGGTTATAGATATAATTATACTGGATGAGGTCTGCATGTATACTTATATATTTGTATCCATTTGTCTTATACAGTATCACAAAGCTGCGTACTAGTATTCATTGGTCATTCAAAGGTCATCAATTGTTTCTGAAGGTCATCAGATTTTCCTGAATATCATCAGTGCTTCTTGAAGTTGTTAGTGGTTAAACATCATTAGTGTGTTTTAAAATTCCTCTAGTTTTTTTTAGGTCACCTGAGACAAAGTCTTAAGTGACCTATTGCGATCGCCTTTTGTCCGTCGTGCGTCCGTCGTCCGTCGTCCGTCGTGCGTCCGTAAACAATTTACATTTTCGACTTCTTCTCCAAAACCCCTGAACCAATTTCAATGAAATTTTGCAGGGACCTTCCATGGACAAAGGTCAACAAAA